TTTTATTAAACTTCATTGGTTACCAGTTGTACAAAGAATCAATTTCAAATTACTTTTACTAGTGTATAAATCTTTGTATGGTTTTGCCCCAAATTATCTATGTGAATTAATCAAATTTTATGTACCTAGTCGTAGTTTAAGATCTGAATCGAAGTTTCTTATTAAAACTCGTCAGGTGTGTAGTAAAAAGTCCAAGGTGTTATACAAAGACCGTGCTTTTGAAAATTTAGGTCCTAAACTTTTTAATGAATTACCTCTGTCTGTTCGTTCTAGTCCTTCAGTAGACATTTTTAAATCCAGACTGAAAACGCACTTATTTAAATGTGCTTTTAATATTTGACTGATTGTTTATTGTATCAGCGCCTTTGATCTTCATATGTTGGAATTGTTGCGCTTAATTAAATAAAGTTATTATTATTATTATTAAAGTAGACACAGAACTAATTCAGCTGAATGTTGACCGGTGACCCACTATTTTTAGTATGGCGCCCTCACAGCCACAAATCACAAAATACTTTTTTTTTATTATAAATACGAGATATTGGCACCCTCCCCTCTTCGTTTATATAAACAAAAAGACCAACACCACATACAAAAAACGATTACACAAATCTGTAATAAATGCAGAGTTTTATTATATAATTTTACTCTTCCCAGTAAAAAATACTGAAACAATAAGAAAAGACACTATAAATTCTCTGTACAATACTTGCTTTCATTTACACAGTTAAATCTACATGTATATGCAACTACATTGTATATATTACACATGAAATGTACATGAATTGATTGCATCTTGCAATGTACTATATGCATGTCAAGTTGAAGTCTGCGGTTGAGGTCATCAACACATTAACAGTCAGTTAACATACCAACAAACAAAAAATATGTGCGACTTTGACATAATTTCACTCTCACACCACATAATAGTAAAAACACACGGCTTAGGATTGTTGAAGCTTGAACCACTCATTAGATGTGTTCATGATTTGACTAGGGAACAGTGTTTTGCGAGGAGGAACTGACAAAATTTGCGCTGGACCCATCTGTGATAGAAGTACATGAATTCATCTAATTTTATAATCTAATATTATAATGATACAGCATACAATAAATTAGGTTTACACGCGCATACAGTATATAAATTGGGATGTTTTAGCTTTTTTCGTTTATCTTTCTTAGATTCTGCTTTATAATAAAGGTGTTCCGTTAACAGCACAACATGTGATAATTGGTTAATAATGCGGACTTTACAGCAGACCCAATGAACTCGTTTGTTGTGAAAAAAACAGGCAAATGTATGCTAGACTCTATTGATGCATATTTTGGAAAGTCCATTCTATCTCAGAGATGAAAGGGTAGATATAATGATAATCAATGAGAGGCACAAGCTTAAGCACACCCACGCTTAACAAAATGAGGAAAGAAACAATATACAAACAAACAACAAATGTGGAGTACCGTAATTCCAATGAAGAGAAAAAGGAACAAAGTTTGAGTGAACTGACTGTTACCAATGAATGTGAGGAATGCTAGTACTCTCGGAGAAGGAATGTTGGCAGTCATGATAGAGCAAAAGAAAATTAAAATAAGAAATACAAAAAAAAAAAAAGTCTGTAAAAAAAACAAAACAAAAAACATCTACATAACAGTAAATCAACTTGAAGCACCTTCTTCTCAATTACTGGTCAGTTTTGATCATGTGATAGATAGGTTACCATAACAACTAAAACTACAATGACATGAATACAGATTAAATTAAAACATCAAATTATGGGATTGAATACAATTTTCTAATAACAATATTGCATTAATGCTTTTTTTTTAAAAAAACTTCGAACATGCATAAATTATTATATAGCACAATTAATTATTTCAAAAAAAATTATTAAGCTTGGCAAAAATATATGAGATATATTAACACGTCAATTGAAATATCCACGTCATATAAATGTATATATATATATATACAGGCATATCAAACTGCCACAGTCTTATCTGGTTCAGAGGATAAGAAAATAATATATACCCCCGGTAGGTCAATATAAGTTGCTCCTGCCCTCCAATATATTGTGCAGTCAATATGCTGTATATTGACCTCAAGCAACTGAATACATTTCTTATAATTATATAAACAAAAAATACAGATTGCTTATCGTAATAGCTGTCAATAAAATAGTAGTAATAATTAAAAATTATAACTGAAAAATATATGTATTCTACCACGATACAAATGAAATACCGCCCTCAACCCTGAAGAGGGAGATGAACTACCATAATACTGCAAGTGATTTTATTTATTTATTTTTTTTTAACCAAACAAACTTTCGTATTTCTGAATTTTGAAATAGGATATAAAACTTAAACAAATATTATAATAATATGATAATTTGGATTAAAGCCAAGTCAACAGAACATTTTTTTTTTATAGATGTTTTCAGAATAAAAATAAGAAAAATTTTCTGATAGCGTTATTTTGCACTAGATAACTCAGCTGCTGCTTCAATTTCAGTAAAATTTTCAAAATATCAAAACAGAAAAAAATCATGTCCTCAAATTAGGGACAAAGGTCAAATTCTGGCATAGGTAAAAGGTCAAAGATGAAAATGAATATTCATTATTGTCATAATGCAGGAATTCTTTGAAGATACTAAAGTTTCCAAGGAAGTTAAAAAAAAATCTGATGTCGTGACAACAAGCATTTCAAAAATAGTTCACAGCCAAATATTACATATTTACCTAAATGTCATATGATATTGCTTTGTCTGTTTGCATGTAAGTGAACGTCCAATCAAAACCCTGAGATAATAAGGTCTTCAGACAATACAACAAAACTTGCCATAACAAGATGTCCATCGATGTATCTGAGAACAACGTGCCGACATCTACAGTCAAATAATCTCTGAGTTTTTTAACTGACGTCTCTCTCTCCTTTTAAAAAACAAACACTGATGGCAACATTCTTTGTAAATATTGAAAGGATTTGTCGTCAATGACTATTGTGTTTCGTAACGTAAAGTTGCGTGTATACCAGGTCAATGACATCGGTAAGGGCAAAAGTCAAAGATGCGATATCAATTAAAGGCACTAGATAGTTGCACTCCAACATTGTCAAGGTGATCAAAAAATGCTCAAAAGTCAAAGTCATCTCCATCAACGAGACAGTATTTATTACTACGGCTACAGCAGTCAGTTTGATATACAATACACATGTGATATAGAGATACAGTGGTTGCCATGACTACAGGATCCTAAACCAGTCACCATAGCCACCACGCATGCTATATGAGGTGTACCGAGAGATGCAGGCCGATGGAAGAAGTTGCATCACCTAAATCGCTTTTACCTTTTTCCACTTTCTGTTTTTTGATGAGCTGAGGATGGCGCTTTGTCAACATTCTAGAGTAAGAGTGAAACAAACAAGCAGTGTTAGCGAAACGAATCAATTTATGCATTTACAAAGCTAAACTTGACAAAAGATGAAAACACACATAAGCTATGACCTCATTATCGTTACCATTTTTGTAAAAAAGAAACCAAAAATACAATCAAAGTGAAATAAAAAAATAAATATGAAATACAAACATTCAAATAAAAACAAAACAAAAAACTATTGACAATGAAAACATGTTTTTAAAAGGTAAGTGATCATTACACTGCACATGTTGGAGTTTGGTATAAACAGTATTTCATGTGTTGAAAACATTGACCAACACGACACATTGCGATGACCACCGCCTTCTAACAAAAGATGTTTTTAAGGAGAAAAGAAGGAACAGTTGTATTAACCCCATCCCATGTCTTGGTGCATGTAATTAATTCAGTAATAAATGAATAAAACTTCATAGTCGTCATTATGTACACGTACGAACACAATATTATCCAAGCGTTACTTATGTTGCATGGGACCCATATCGAATATGATGTGCCCTGACACAACTGCGATGCTTTACATTATAAATACTATCATCGGAAATTACGTTTATCGCAACTTAGGATACCGGTAGTTAAGCAGAAAATTGAAGAAACAGTAAATCCCTTTTTTCACACACCACCAAACAAATAACGAATAGAGAATAAAAGTTAAAATCAATAAAAATGAAATATTACATGCAACATTAAAGTTTCACTCTGAGATGGACATTTAGTACAGAAACAAATTGCAAGACAAATATTAGATACAGGCACAGTTTCACAGAAATTTGTACAAATTATACAAGTTACATTGTATTTTAGCACAAATTAAGTAAAAATGACATAATATTGTCATTTATGAAAGCTTTAGAATCTCTAGATTGCTTGAGATAATATATACTCCCTAGACTGGTTGAGATAATATAAACTCTGTAAACTGGTTGAAATAATATACCCCCTAGACTGGTTGAAATAATATACCCCCTAGACTGGTTGAGATAATATACCCCCTAGACTGGTTGAGATAATATACCCCCTAGACTGGTTGAGATAATATACCCCCTAGACTGGTTGAGATAATATACCCCCTAGACTGGTTGAGATAATATACCCCCTAGACTGGTTGAGATAATATACCCCCTAGATGGTTGAGATAATATATACCCCCTAGACTGGTTGAGATAATATACCCCCAGACTGGTTGAGATAATATACCCCCTAGACTGGTTGAGATAATATATCCCCTAGACTGGTAGGGATAAATCTTAGAGAAATATACTTCCCAGAGTGCAACTTTAATTCTTTGAAAGTCATCATCTTTCCCGTCACAATTTTAGTGCAAAATTCATATGTATTTTTATATTATTTTATATTATTAATTATGAAACAAATGGTCATAATTTTCCATTCCTTGACCAAATATTTTTGAAGATAATATGGCAAAAATATTTTTTTGTGTGTGTGTGTGAGCAGGGATAAATGTTGCCTTTAGAATTGAAAAGGCTGAAGAAGGATATGTGCATACATGTATAGAAACATGCTTTATGTGACAACATAGATTAGAAGGCTTACATGCTTATCAAAGACAAAATCGAAATAAACAAATATCGTGTAGATTTTACAGAATTTGAAGTTGTTTTGTAAACCATATCTACTCAGTATTGCCATGAGGAATTTTTACAACATAGGTGAACATATAGAGGGCGGTAAAACATGTAGTAGCAGGCTGCTGCCATGGTAATCATAGTGACACCTCACTCTCCATGTTTAGATGTATTGTAGTACCAGAGGGGGGGGGGGGGTTAGCTTGATTCTGGAAGAGCCGCTAAAAGGCAAATCATGTTATGCTCGGTGGAGGGGGAGGGGGAAGACAGTATTTAGAAGAGCCACTAGTCTGAAAACTGATGAAAACATTGTTATGCTCAAGGGAGGGTGGGCAGGTCAATACTGGAGGGACTGATTTAATCAGGTGCACTAATAGAATACAGGAAATTATAAAAGAAAGTAATTGGAGAATGACTTAAATCACACCTGCACCTTTTGGCTTAATCTCCTGCTTCCACTGGATGATGGCTTCTTCTTACTCTGGTATGTGGGTGTGCGTACTGAGCTGGCTGTAAATGGACATACACGACATGACAAGGGTGTTGAGAGAGTGCTCACATGAAACTGACAAGGTGGGGAAGGGTTAGTTTTTCGCATTTTATTTATTTATTGATTTTTTGTTAAATAAATGACAGTGACATGCAAGTGAATTTGTAAGTGAGTTGCATGCAAACAAAAATGTACGTGTCGGAACGAAATGATTCATTACTGTATAAGGCTGGGTAAGCAGCAGTCAGCTAGCACATGAAGAGACAAGGGAAACAGCAATGTTAACAAGCATTATCATAGTATTATTTGGGTTTTTTATATTCATCGAGTACAATTTACTTTTAATATGAAATCTACTCAAGTGTCTACATGCTAAAACTGAACCCTACAAGCACCCACTACCGATACCATGTATTCCGTGCTAACTAGCTAACTAACCTTTGGATTTTTTAGTTTCAACAGGAATAAAACTTCCCAGCCGCCGATCATCCGGACTGAAATTTCGAAGATTTTCCTCAGAACGCCACTTGGAAGTGTTTGGTGATTCCCATGTTAGATTACTTTCCGACCAAGATCGCTCACGATCCAAGTTGGATTTTGATGCTTGTTTCGTCTTGGCTTCAAACGTATGCGGTGCTGGAACTTTTCGTACTTCTGTATCTTTCAGTCTTTCGTAAGCCTCTGATAGTTTCCGCTCTAAGTATTTGACCTTTTCTTCGACCCTGGTGTGATCCTGTTTCAGTTTTCTGTACTTTTCCGCAAACATTTCATTTTCTTCCTGGAATGTAGATATGCAAATGGAGAGATGCTTAGATACTGTTGGAGTAAAGCTTACCCAACAAACAAACTAATCTGCAAAATCAAACAATAACAACATCGCCCAAGTAAGCAAATATACTGTAACATAACCTGATGAATGATTTGTAAGATTTGAGTTTGATTTGATTTTACTCTGTGTGGATACATCTGTCCATTAAAAATTACCTGATTTTTTGAATAAAATCCTAAAGCTAAATACCGAAGATTAGTCTAGGCTTATCATCATACATAAATAAAAAAATTGCACTTACGCTGGATCATTATAATTTGGAAAGAGACTCTGAGATAGAAATGATTCTAAGACAGAAAATAATTCCACGCAGTTAGACACTCAAGTCACATGACACTTACCTGCTTTGTATTGGCTAATTGGCATTGTAGTCGTTCTATATCTTCTTGCATCACCAAAGCCTCAGACTCTTTGATTCTGAGAGAAATCTACAACAATGAAAGATGAATATTTCATATTTATTTTCTATCAAAGGTACCTTTGAAATTAGCATATTAATAACAAGTAAGCTGAGGTGTCCATTCAACAGATTGAAATGTTGTCATGCAAATATGCTAATTTGACAGATCTTTCAAAGCACACCTAGGTTACTCAAAATTAAACTAATTTGCAAGAATCTATGAAGATGCCAATTTGCCTTTATAATTAACGGAGCATTGTCAAGTTACATCCATCTTTGGTACTTTAACACAAGCTAGGAGGTAATTTATTGTGTCTTGTATTCTGTGAACAAAAAACTCAAACTGTCTTTACCTTAAGGTCATACAGCTCAAGTACTTCCAAATTGTTAGCAGCCTCTGCACCCATGTCACCAATCGCGCCACCGATTTCAAGGGTACTCCTCAAGCTAGCAAGCTCCTCAGCCATCTTTTCATTCAGTTCCATGTTCTCACTTGTCAAGTGTTGGATACTTTGTTTCTTCTCATCCAGCGAGCGATACAAAGTAGCCAACTGCTCTTCCAGTAACGAGTTCTCCATGCATTTTGACGAGTACTGTTCTGATAAAGCGATCATTTCATTTTCAATTTTTTCAAGTTCTTCCCTACAAGAAGACAACAAATTAAGTATTTTTCATAGAATAACCAACAAATCTATATTTCAAGAGCGAATGGTTTTGTAATTCCACAATCTGGTACATTGGTGTTACACTGCATGCTCCAAAGACAAGATCATGCAAATTTATATTTAAATTTGACTGTGAAGATTCAAAAAAGAAATAAAAAGCTTGACTGTGACCAAGAAATGATTATCCCACTATACCCAGTAAGTAACAATCATAGTGATGAGATTTCTTTTTTTCTTCTAATACTAGTATAAAGGTTTTTGCAAAGCGTTTTCAAAACCAGGAAGTCACCATTGGGAACAGAATAACAAATGTGCAACAGATAATAACAGTTGTGTGCTTTAACAAGTTGTAAGAGACGTTTTGCAATACCAAGTAATGTATGCATCAAACCCTGTACATTCAAATGGTCAAAAGATTGAAAGTGAGGCTGAACAGACTCACATGATTGAAATAAACCAATCAGAAAATCAGTGTGAGCCTCACTTTGGTTCAACGACCACTTAACTTGGCGATAAAAGAACCATGCAGACCACCTATGATATATCCCATGTCAGTACCTACACCATTTCAAGATAAATCATCGTACACTTTCAGAGTGTTTTATCAGAAGTCAATCCTTGCCCACTTTAATCACCAAGTTCAAGTTCAAGCTGCAATAATGATAGCGTGGTAACTAAATATATATTTTTTTCTGCGATAATTTGTCACCTAAAACAAATCAGCACAGCATTGCATTTCCCCCAAACAATCCAAAATTGTCGATATTGAGGTACGAGACTCCAAAATTATTAACTTTGATATTTAAATATTTTGTGATTACGCATGGGGTTATTGAGACAACATTGCGAAGCAGTACTATCTGAGCGAATACTGTATTCGTCAAAGAATTATTAAAAAAAAAAGAATTGTAAAAAACATTTTTTCAGCTGTTTTCTGTCAATAATTTACTTCTATCCAGATGAAGATTTAAAAAAAACGCAGCACTGACATGAATTCAGATGTAATTTGATTCCAATTGATTCATTGACGACCATCTTTGATTGTTTTCTATTGTTTTCTATGACAGAATTTCAATAATAACGTCATTATCTCTAATAGAATACACAGTTTATGAAGATGGTAGCCATTTTGAATTGCAGGATGGGATAGGATTGACTTTCATACAAAACATGAGTCGGAGTCGTAGTCATCGTCGTCATCGTCGTCGTCGTCCGTGTACATACTCACTTTTGTTGCAGCAGGTTCCATGATATAACCCTAATGTGTGTGCATGAAATGAAATTGTGGTTGTTGCTGTGAGACGAATTGATTCATGTAAGCATGGGATATACCAAAGGAACAAAAAACAACAAAATGACAGAAGAAACCACTTTGAAATGATGTGTGATTGGTTTACCTCTAAGGAATGCTACATGTAGGACTAGAAAAATCTTAGATAAAACAGGTTAAGTTATTAAAATGGAGAAACATAAGGGGTACAACTGGATAATACACATACCACTAAGGGATCATTTTGGTGATGTGTTTCAAGTGATTTGGATTCTTCATATTATGCATTACAATTTTGTTCAACAGCTTTGACAATTTATTTTTGTAGTGTTTTTTATGCAATATGGATAATAGATAAAATAAATAACATAATAGATACCCCCGGTATATTTAAAAATCTAAGGCAAGAAGAGTTGAAAATATATTCAAGTTACAGGGCCTTCCCAACTGAATATAGATATTCAGATTACCAGACCTAGCAAACTGAATACATAATAGTATAGACACTTTGCATGTTACATAATTAGTGTTCTACTAAGCAATCACCAAAATCTCATTCCAAATACTGAACTTGCAAAGGATCCATTCTGTGGTATGTATATTTCTAAATATTAAAAAAAAAAATAACTATAACATTAAAACTTAAAAAAGAAATATTTTCAAAGTGGTTCCATGAATAAAACTACAATAACAAAAATAAATCATGACAAAATAAACAAACAAACAAACAAACAAACAAACAACAACAAATGAACTACAATCATAGGATTAAAAAGAGAGAATGAAATGCAGCAGTTAGATGTTTTACCAACCTTATAACATAAGCTAGAGTTAAATGTAGATGACGTAATTTTTATAGAAAAGCTGACCTGTACACCGAGGTACAAAGATAAAAGAAATCCCATTGTAGCAGTGATAAATGAAAACAATGAAAGTTAACGTGCAAATAGAGACCCAGAGAAGCACTCCCTAGAGTGAGGAAGTTATTCACACAAACTCCCTAGCCAGGTGGAAAATATAGCATATGACTCCCTAAGCTTTATCAAATGTATCCTCTTTTATTGAATGTCTAAATAAATTGTTATCAGCATTTAAGCGAGAAAGTAGAAATTATACCAATTGTTGTTACATCATATATAAAATATTACAAAACATTAATGTTTTTTATAGTAATACCGTTGTAAACAATCACCCCCCCCCCAGAACCACTAAATCCTTTTTGAACGTAAGAAGTCACCCACCCAATATTATTCTGATGAAAATGATTCATAATAGATGAAATTCACATGCTGGAGATCCAAACATTCAATGGGTCAAAGGTCATGCACATGAGTAGAGAAATAACAGCAATTTTAATAGTTATTTAAACTTGCCCTGAAACACATAAAGTGTTAACAATAACTTACTGATGCTCTCGTCGTAATGTCGCTATCGTCGCATTTACATTACCATGCAGATGATGCTTTGATCTTTCCCTTTCCATGTCTTCCGTGTGTTTCTTGCGGATTTTTTCCATAGCTGGTGAAAAAAACAAACAGTGATACTCAAATTTTTCTTTACATAAATTTAAGGAAAATTGTAGGATAATATCTTGAAGCATTTGATTCTGGTGTATATGAGTACAATGGTCATCGATTGAAAATTTGTTTACTATTTTCCTTGTTGCAATCCAGTACTGCCTGAGTGCATACTTTGCGGTATTCTTGGGTAACTCATTATTATACATTTTTGTCCCGCTTGTAGACATATTTTAATGAGAAAACCCAAAATGACAATGAGAAAACATTTTTGAACTGTGGAAATTTGTTTGCAGTCTAATTTAAACAAATGAAAGAGCTAGAATGTGACGTTCAATGTTGGTGTTGCAGTCCGCCCTAAATAAGGAAAATATTAAACATTCAAACAAAAGCAAATATGGCTGTTACAATAACATCACTTGTTTTCAATGCTATATGTATAATAATAGCATATACTTACCAGCAAGTGTTGCCTGGGTTTCTTGGGCGAGTTCCCGGTCTTTCTGTTGTTTTAACTTATCATATTCATCCCTATGCTGCTTTCGCATTTGTTCGACAGCTTCCCGATGTAACCTTTCAACTTTCACCATTCCACTATCACCACTCTAGAAAAACAAAACATTATATCAACTTTTGCAAAAGATGTGCATCTACATACCTCACCGTTGTCATATTCAAGACAATGAGGCACATCTTATTTTTGAGCATCCTCTTACTCAGGATTATGATTTATCTAACCAGGTCGACAAACAATCTTTTTGCAGGTACTCGCACAATCACAAACCCATTCCCTTCATTTTTATAAATATTTATAAATTTTATAATTTCTACTGGCTGACAGAATTACATTACATTAGAGCATTTTTAAATGAGTTAATTGCGAAGGGCTGGTTGAATTCAACTGCCATTTATGGCAAATTTATGAATATTTATAAAAATCATGGGAAAGCAGTGTTGCTCAAAAACAAAGTTCCATATTAGTACACTTTCAGCCATTTCGAAAAATACCTTGAAAGTCAGCATATAAGATACTATACTTGATCATTTACTGAAGTAACTCACCCTCAACTGTTCAACTTCTTTCTCATATTTTTCCCTGAGAGCTGCTACAGAGGACTGAGCATGCTGTTGTGGAGTTGCCATGGCGAAGACTGGTTCTTCCACCTCAAGATGGTTTGTCAACAGACTACCCTTCACCACAGCCAGATCAGTTTCATGCAGTTCGGCGAAGTGGTCCAGCCTCTCCTCGTACTCAGACTTCAAATCATTGATCTCTTGTGCGTGTTCTTGATCAATCAAATCAACTTCCTTCTTGTGATCTCTCTTTAAATTCTCTATAGCATCCTCGTAGCTTTGCTCCAGTTCAGCAATCTTGTACTCCTGTTCATTTCGCAGTCTGTTGATTTCCTTCCCGTACCTCTGCTCAAATTCCAACTGAAAGTTTTCTTGCTCTCTTTTCATCTTTGAAATAATTTCTTCATGATGAAGCTCAACCTGTTTCAGGTTCTTATCATTGTCCTTTCTAATTTTCCCAATCTCGTCTTCGTAATTATCTTGCATATAAGACATTCTCTTTTCGTGTTCCACCTTAACTTTACTCATTCTCTGTTCATATTCTCTCTTCATATTAGCTGTTTTCTGTTCAAATTGCAGTTTGGCTTCTTGCACAGCAGCACTGTCGTCACTTTTAGCATCTACGTCTTTGTTCTTTAATGCATACATTTGTTTTATTCGAGTAATGTCTTCATCGTACCGCGTCTTTAACTCGGCAGTTTCCTTCTGCAGTTCATCTTCCATGTTCGTCATATCATCTTCAATGTCTTTCAGCTTCTCCTCATACTCTTTTTCAAGTTTCGTCATTTCATCATCATGACGTTCTTGCATCTCTTTTAATTCACTCTCATGCAGCTCCTTCAAATCTAGGATTTCCACTGCAGCGGTCTTGAGTCTGACTTCATAATCTTCAATAATGGCTTGCAATTCATCGTTATCTGCTTCATCTGGTTTCAATCTGTCAAGCATCTCAATTTCTAAAGCTTTCATTTTATCTTCATACTCCTCTGGGAGCTGATTCAACCGCTCTTCTTCATTCTGCCGCAGACCTTCAACAATTTCTGTCTCCAAAAGTTTCATTTTTTCTTCATAATCTTTAACAACTTTATTTATTTCTGCCTCATGACTCTCCTTCAATCTGTCAAGTAGTTCAGCTTCAACATTTTTCACTCGCTTTTCCCATTTCTCTGTCAGTTCCTTCAGTTCATTATCATGGCGTTCATTCAAATCATTAATTTCCAGCTGCTGAATCTCTGCTATCTCAACGGCGGCATCTCCAATCTTCTGCTCACAATCCTCTTCCACTTGCTTCACAGTCGCTGCATGATTTTCTTCCAACTCTGCGATAGCATTCTGAAGAGCTATTTCACTTTCCTCAGTAACTTGTTTATGAAAATCTTGCATAGTTTTATTCAATCCTTTAACTTCTTTCATATGCAGTGTTTTCAAATCTTCAATTTCAGCTTCCTTCAGGGATTCAAGCTCTTTCAATTTACATATTTGTTCCTGATACTTATGCAACCCTCCCTTCAGCTCTTCCACTTGCTTTGTCTGTTCGTCCATTTCTTCTTTCTTGACATTACACTGCTCTGTCAATTCTGATAACCTCTGTTGGTACCCAGTGACAACTTGATTCATTTCCTCTGAGTGTTTACGTTCTAGCTCTTCCAAAGTTTGTTTGTGTTCAGAATTAAGTTTATCTTGTGCATCAATCAAATTCTTCTCATGCCCTCTAATTTCTTCAAGTTCCTCCTGTTGTTTAGCAACTAGGCTCTCCATAACATCAGTAATATTGTCAACTTCTTTGATGTGCTCATCTGTTTTCAACTTCAACTGAACTGTAGTTTCTGCTAATTGTGTTTTAACATCATCTAACTCTTCTTTCAAATGTTTCAATCTTTTGGCAGTCATTTCTTCCACTTGATCATTTGGATCTTCTTCTAAAGTAAAACTTATTTCTGGATTACCGCTGGTCTTAGCATACTCTTCCTTTGACCTCAGCTCAGCAAGAACAGTACTCAGCTCCTTCTTCGTTCTGTCCAACTCTCCCTGGAATTTGGACATCTCTCTAGCTTGTTCCTCTCTCTCATCTTTAATGATATCTTCATACCGCTCTCTCACACTGGTAAGATTTCTTCCATGCTCCATTGTGATGCTTTCAATGACTTTACCATTGGAATCTGTCTCATAGGCTTCACGTAATGCATTCAATTGCTGTGCATGTTCACTGTGCAACATGTTTAAAATGTAGGTCAGCTCAGCCTGGAAGATAGCTCTTTGCGCCAACATCTCAGCATAGTCATCCATGCTACTGCATTTAGCCAAAAGTCGTTTGGGATACATTAGGTTATTATCAGCAGCAGCCGAATACAAAGACAGTGCTGAAAGACTATGTCGTCTATGCTGTGGTTTCACCTCATATCTCATGGAAAGCATTGCATGACCCCAGTGAGTCATGTTGCTACTCAGGAATGACCTCCGGGCCACAATTCCTGCAAACTGATTCATTAGCTGATCATTGTAAAATGGGCCTTTGTTATTAATGTGTTCATTTTGTCCCTGAAGTTTATTTAATTCAGTTTCATATCGCTCTTTGATTGTATCTATTACTGTGCCCATCTCATCTCTGATAGAACGTTCAATATCAGCATGTTTTTTCTCAGCTGCTTGTCGTTGGACCTTCAACATTTGCATGCAACTGGCCCTTTCAATGTTGATCTCCTTCTCATACATATCCATGACTCTACGCAGTATCTGTAACATTTCTGCCTTCACAATTTCATCACTTGCATGGTCAGTTGCAAACTTCAATGTTTCCTCCAACTCAATGCGTTTCGCATAAGATGCTAGTTCTCTGTCATCAAAACTTGTCACCTCTTCACTACATTCTTCGGTCATTTCTTCTGAGGATGAAATGACCAATGGAACCTCCCCAGCGTCTTCTGATGTCTCAGGTGTGAAACCACTTACAAGTACCTTCATTTCCTCTACCTTCCCTTCATCACAGAGTGCTGAAAGTTTTCTTAATTTCTTTTGTTGATGTTCTAACCTGCAGTAAGCATTTCTCAACTGATGATGCATGTCTTTGACTTTGCTCTCAATCACATAAGTGATCTCACCTTCTTTCAGTGCTTGCTGTGCCAAAGTTGTTGCATATTCACCCACTTGTGAAGTGTCATCTGAGTAAACAGATCTCAGCAGTGGTTCAGAGATAGCTCTCCTTGGTGAAAGATTTCTCTTGGAGTGAGTGATATTTGACTCATTATCTGAACCATCATCATCATGTCTTTTATTTTCCAATGCACAGCCAGGAATCTTAACTGACAGCATCTGTGTTCTTGCTCTGGATAGTGCTGCACCAAGTTCACCTCGTTTAACTATTTTTGCCGACAAGGCACTGGCATAATTTTCAACATTTCTATCATCTTCTGAGATCCTAGTTGATTTCGAACCGGCAGTTGATGTAACTGTGCTTGAGCAGCAGTCTTTTCTTTGCATAAATGTAGCACATATTCACACTGACCCATCTTGACAGCTTCTAAGGCCAGCCTATCAGCAAAGACATCAAGCTTCACTTCTTTTAGATTTTTATCTTTCACATCGATTTCTTCACATTTTTCCTCTAACCTTTCTTCCGTCTGTGCCAGCTGATCTCGAAGTAAATCCATGGCAACTGTAACTGCATCATCCATACTTTTCAGACTGCCAACAGACATCTCAGATGACTGACTTTCAGCAGATGATTTCCTTAGGGCCTGTTTACATCGAGTTAATTCTGGATTCTCTCTTTCTTGAAGTTCATCTTTCTGCACAACAAGAGCCCTTTCCACTTTGAGGGTAACATCTTTTGTTTCCTGGATTTGTTTCTCTACCTCTAAGAGAGTACCAGAACAATGGTCTAAAACGTTCTTGTCAATAGGAACTTTGTGTCCCTGTAACTCTTGCAAAAGATCTGTAAGTTTATGTTTTGAATCTAACACATTTGTCTCAACACTTTCTAGTTTATGTTCAAGCTCAATTAAATGACTGCTGACATCGCCAACAATTCTCATCCTTACATTATATTCAAGTTCCAACTCTTTTGTGAGAAGTTCAATTTTGTTCTTAAAGTCTTTTATCTGCTCTTTGAGTTTGTTCTCAGAAACACACTTGGCATGAAATGATTTTCTATTGTCAAGATCTTTAGTGGTCACATCCACTAGTTTGGCAGTGATTACTTTTAATTTTTGTTCTGTATCCAAAAGTTTAGTTTCCAATGATTTTACTCTCATAAGTCTTTTCTGTTTTGGATTTTCTACCTTTTCCCGTGGCACAGAGCTGTCAGAATCATCTGATTCACTTCCAGTGCTACTTGATGACTGCATCTTCTCGCTCACTTTTTCAACAGTTGGAGGGCAATTACTTATTGTTATAACAGGTTTGGCTTCTTGATGATTGTTTATCCTCGGATCAGAAACAGTGGAAGTGTTTTGCGAAGATGACAACATCTCTTCCCTTGCAGAGACCTTTTCCTCAACAGAACCAATCTTGCCCTTCAGACTGTTTGTCTCTTCATCTTGAGCCTTTAATGTTCCTTCAACATCACAAAGTTGCATTTCTAATTCCTCTAACTTAGTCTCCAGCTCCTTCGAAGATGACCGAGAGCTTGCTAAAGAACCTCCAGCTAGTTTACGTTCTAGGTTGCTGACTCGCTTCTCGCTATCCCTCAGTTTTTTATCAGCCAAGGCAAGTTTTGATGTTAGATCTTTAATCCTGTTACCCATTAGATGCATCTGCTCCTTGTTATTCTCCTCAGCACACCTATAATCCTCTTTGCTCTTCAAGAGTGAAAATTCAAGTTCATCATAGCTGCCATTTGCCTCTTTCAGCTGCACACGTAAGCGCCTGACCTCTTGCATGGCACTGTCATATTTACTTTTCAACTGTTTATTTTCAAATTCGTTGGTATCTTTCTCATTGTCTTTGTTCATTACTGAGGATTCTTGGGTAGAAACCTTTGTCTTCTCTAACTCCACAGTCTGCGCCAACTCTGCAAGTTTTTTTTCTGATTCATTTATTTTTGCCTTTCTCTCATCTAACTCCTGCAACTTGCTTGAAATCTCTTCATCATGTTGGTTCTGAAGCTTTACAAAGTCATCCTCCAGCTGTTTTACTTTTTCTTTTGCGTCTTCCAGTTCTAGTTTCTTTTGTGCGAGTTGTTCTTCTTGTTCCTTTATAGTTCTTTTTGATTCTTGCAATTCGTCTTTCAATTGTGATATTTCCAAAGTGTGCTGGAGTATCTGCTCCTTCAGACTTCCTTTGTCTCCGTAACATTTTTCAACATCTCTCTTCAGCTTTTCATATTCCTCTTCCTTAGCATTCATTTTCCTATTCAAATCTTCAAGTAGAAGATCTTTTTCTCCAAGATCCTTCTGCAATTTTTCTATTTGCTCGACACTTTCATCCAACTGTTTTTTCAATTTCTCTTTTTCAGCTAAAACCTGGTCTAGCTGTGTTCTGAGTTCCTTCAATTCCATCTCACTTGATTGCAACCTAGGTTGTGCATCTTCTCGCTCTGTGGAGATATTTTCTAATTGCAATAACAGTTTTTCTATCTCATCTGACTTTTCTTGCAAGGCAGTTTTTAGACAACCGATTTCTTCAGCACTTTTCTCAAGGTACTCTTCTGAAACAGTGTTTTCAGCAAGAGCTTTCTCTAGACTTTTTTTAAGTTTGCTAATTCTCTCTTTACCATTATCAGATTCACCTCTTGCGTTCAAAGAATCTATCATTTTTTGTTGTTCATTCACTTTTGCTTTCATCTCTTTCAACTCATCTTGTAAATGTTCATTCACATCTTGTTCTCTCTCAACATCCTCTAAAGCATCTTTTAATTTCTTTTCCACCTCTCCAAGTTTTCTCTCTACACTTTGTAATTTCAAAGTATTGGCAGTGACATCGCTGATCGAATCTCCCTGTAAACTGAGTGTCAGTTCTGCTAATCGGTTATCAGCTTCGTCTAATCTCTCTTGTAGTTTTGATTTCTCAGTTTTTTCTGTTTTCAACTGATGTAACAATTCTTCTATTTTATCTTCCTGTTCCTCTAACTCTTCATTCAGTTTATGGCTTTCATTTCTATCTTTGCATTCTTTTTCCTGACCTAAGGACGCAACTTTCTCTTCAGCGTCAGCTAATTTTTTCTCAAGAGTTTCTTTTTCTGACTGTCCCTTGTTTTGCAGTCGCAGAAACCTTTTTTCAAACCTTTCCTCATTTAAAATACAGTCACGTTCACTTTCTTTTAACCTCTGTCGTGCCTCTTCCAACTTACTCGTGAGATGTTCTATTTTTATCTCAGAATCCTGCCGATTCCTTGATCGTTCAAATTCTCGTATACATTTACTTTTCACATGAATCTCCCCTTCTGCTTTTTTCAGCATAGTCTTAAGCTCAGACACCTGAGAATCTAAACGTTCACTCTTTTCTCTCAAAATGTCAATAACTTTCACCGATTTTTCCTTTTCTCCTCTCAAGTCTCCTTCTAACTTTCTGGCTTTCTCCTTAGTTTCAGTTAGCTCAGAAACAGCAATTTCTAATTTGGTTTTATAAGTGCCGATATCATTCTCCTGCCTATGAATAACAGAGTTGGCATCGCTGAGTCGTTTCTTTAGCTGCTGCAGTTGATTTTTAGATAATTCATTTAGGTTTTTAGCCTCCTGCAGTTCAATCTTCAAATGGTGATACTGCTGGGCAATTTGGTTCTGCTCTGAATTCATGTCTTCGATCTGTGGGGAAAGAAATTAAAGCATAAATGAACATCCAAAAAATCTTGAGTTAATGATTAATACCCTAAGTTAGTCAAATACTTAGTACATTCAGATAGATATTGCAGAGAGTATTACTTTGAATTGTTGAAATTCCTGGTTTTTGAGACCTTATAAGGCTGTGCAATAAGTCCACCATGTGCACAATAGCATACATGTATATTCCAAAGCAGCAAAATAAAGTTACCGTAAAATCATTTCTCTTCACTGTGTTTTAATTTTACGAATTTGTCAAGGAAACAATAAGTTTTAATGTTATTTCACTTATTTCATGTAGATATAATTTAGCAGATTTTACTTATCAGTGAAATTAAAACCCTGTGTAAATTTAATGCATTTACAGTATTCCAGTCATGATAAATATTCAGAGTACCAGGCAGTAAGCCCTGGAACGAGCATTATATCATTTTAGATACACCAAGTGACAGCGTACATTCTTAGCATAATTTTGTAGACAAAATTATGTTTGTTTTCAAACTGTATTTCTGTGCGGAGACAAAATATCAATTGCCAAAACAAACTGTACATATTAGTACATTGCAAAGTTCTTGACAGAACTGATGCTTGCTCGCTCGCAATGGTTACTGATTTTGTTCAAAATTTTTTAAAAAAATATATGTGGCTTTATTTTGTAAATAGTAAAAAAAGTTAACCTTAGCATTCGAAAAAGAACTTTGAAAGAGAAGGTAAATAAACAAACCAGGTACATTATGCAGACTTACCTGAGTTAAATATTTATTTTGATCGTCTTCCAGTTCACTGAACGATTCACGGTGATCCCGTCTTGCCGTTGTCATCTGAGTTTTCAATTCGATAGTTTGCTGATGCGAATCAATTAATTCTTTTTGTGTTTTTTCTAGCTGAGCCTTTAGAGATTCAACCTTAGTGATAATAAAATTTCGTAATTAGAAAAAAAATCAACGCATATCAATAGTGTTAGGATACAGCCATGATACTTGCTCCATCACCTGAGTCAAATAACAAGATAAATGCATACACGATAACTGTAGGCACTAAAATGCGAGAGGGAGCAGCTAGGCTTGGTTTATATACAATCTACAACTACTTATCCTATCCTTCGAGTGAACAACTTGAAATAATGAGATGACAGTACAAAAACAAAATTATCTAGAAAATCTAGAACACTGTTCGTATTTTTTGGGAACAACGTACAGAAGGTGTTCCAAACTTGTCATGTGTTGGCTATATTGACAATATCATGCGAGTTACTATGGTAACTATTATTTTAGGAGATAAATTGAAAAACAAATGAAAAAAAATTGTATTGCAACAACAATTTTAATCTCTCTCAGGGCAATATTTTTTGATTGGCAAATAGATTGGCCATTCATTCACTGACAATAAGAAACAAGACTAATTTATTTTTTGTCAAATTGTTTGCAGGCTTTTTCTGCTTCTTTTGGTCTAGTGGAAATAAAGTATTTCAGATTTAACTGGTTTGAAATCTCCCAAAACAAATAATATATTCAGTGACAAAATGATCCCTCTTTTTGACTTTACCCCTACTCCCCCATGCAAAAATGGTTGTTCCGAGTAGGTAATATTGTTAATGCCATTCATCCATAGCGTGTTCACTATAATAACACTGTAATATCTGTGATTCAACCATGAGGGCTATTGAAACTTGAGTTGAGGTTAGGGAATCATATTTGCATTTTCAGAAGCAATAACCTCAACTTATACAGCTGAAATAACCCTTATCCTCAATTTCTACAGCTGGATTAACCTTTGACCTCAACCTCTATAGGTGTAAGACAAGTCTTATCAAATGGATTTTCACAGAACTGAAGAGCAATGTGACTGTCTGTTAGGGCAAGGTGGAGTTTGGGTTGCTGTTAAACCACAATTTCCTAATAAAATATAGTAGATTTTTTGATATTTTGGATCATTATTTAGCAATATACGAAAGTAAGTACAACTATTTAAGACTGTTGGACTCATCTTGATCAGGGCTAAAAATGCATCATTGATAGTTAGATTATTTTCTTACTGAATTAAAAAAGACAATAGGAAAATATTATTCCATGATTTCATAGTGCAATCTGGGATTGAGGAGCCCCTTTTTAAAGCTATATGAAAATCAACAAGTCATTGTTTCTATGGCACCAAGTACTTTTTTTTCATTTACCTAATGGAATCTTTCAAAATATCAAGCTTTAAAAATAATTTCCTAGTCAGCCACATTGATCTTCGAACTCAATTTAAGAATCAACCTGTCTGTATTCACATAGTACAGTGTATGTTTATACTTACTTCAGTTTCAAGTAATTCCACCAGCATGGCATCACCTGAGCTTGATGTGATATTTCCAGATGTTTCACCGCTAGATTCTCCACTTTTATCTCCTCCCATGTCCTTAGACTCCAAGTCTGCATCATCAGAAATATCTGATTCACTGTGTTCATTTTCATCACTCCGTTCTTGTTTCTGGCTTTCTACTTTTTCTACTTTTTCAACTGCTACAATTGTTAGTTCTTTTTCAGGCTCTTCTTGCTCCGATACATCACTTTCCTCACCATCCTCACTTTCCTCTTGTTCTTCTGAATCGTTATCACTTGTTTCCTCGGTAACCGTTTTTTCTCGATGCTCACTACTGACAAGTGATGTGGAGCCCGGTTTTTCAGACGTGTGATCAGCCAGAAATCTTCTTGAAGTGGTTGGACTCCGTATTGCTTCGAGCTTTGTCAGATACACAGGATTACTCTCAAACTTAATTGGGCTTCCCACTCTCATTTTTGTACTCTCTTCTGTGGCAAGCTTTTTGGCAGGTGTGGGTGTTTCATTTGCTGGTTTTCTTCCTAACATGTAGTCAACATCTGGAAGAAATTTCCTAGAAGGCACTGGAGAATTACGTCCACCTGATTTTTCCATCAAATCCCTTGGCTGTGGAGCTGACGATGATCTAGTCGCTGGCAAATATTCCTCTTCTTGTTGCAGTCTCTCTTTAACCGAAGCCGGACGTTCTCTGGAATAATACTTGTCAGTTTGTTCAAGTTCAATGCTATCTGGTGGATTAACGCTCACTGCTTGTGGGGGGAGAGGTGGGAGTTCTGGAGGAGGGATAGCCGCCATGGCTTTGAGGATTGCTTGGATCCAGTTATTGCGAATACCGTTTGTCATAGCAGCGAGTGTGGTGGTGCTTTCATGAGTCTACAAAACAACCAGAAACACTGTGACAAGTCTAGACATGACAGATCATCAATGAGTGCAAACTTTAAAGAATCAACATAGACTGAAAACTGTAAGCCTAAATCGCCTTATTTTCAAGAGACACCTTTTTCAAGAAGAATTGTTGCAATATTTATTTTACCGAAAGCTGTAGGACAGGGAGTCACACTAACTTTTGTATCAGTGTACTGTACATTTCATTGTGACCATTAAAAATAGTAAGTTACTATGACAACAACAACAATCTCTACAAATGCTGTCAAGTTTGTTGCGATGGAACATGTCCTGTTTAAAAACTAGTTGTATTTCTACACCAAGATGCTAAAATAATCACAGTGATTGGTCAGAAAACAGACACGTGATATGTCATGAGTGGAGAAACCATGATTGCGAGCCACAATTATGAAAATATCATTTTAATTGAAAGTTTGTTTCATCTTTGACTAGAGGCCATTTCTCATGGATTGTGCGAAGGCCACTGATTCATTTGACACAGTAATCATGTTACTAAATCATCCCTGAATTATATTGAAGGTTGCAAAAATAAATATATTCCGTAATCACAAAATTGACAGTAATCTGTGTTTCAACTGACTATACTCAGAATTGTATCATGATATTTTTGGAAAATGGTTCTTTAAAACATGGAAAATGCTTGTTTTCCGCTGCACGATTTTTCTAATGACTGTGTCAATAACTGCCAATGTCAATCAACTGGTACAATAACCATTAAACACCATGATTTTTCCTACCAACATTATGGTGCAACAAATTTGTGCGTGTTTTTTTATTATTTATTTGATAATTTTGAACGAAATGGACACAATTGCTATTTTGATCCTATTTTTTGAGGGAAAAAATACCCACAAAGTAAGTTTTATTTTAAACAAGCAGCCTCTTGGCTGAGATAGCTGTTAGCAATGCACATTTCAATTAAAGAACAGAAGATATCATTAGAAAATGAACAATATGCATAGTATCAATGCTATGGGACTTGCTGTTTTCAACAAGAATTCAAAAATATCATCTTTTGAAAATATCACTTTTTACTAAAAATGACAAAAATATTCACCAAAATTAGAGAATTGAAGATATCATTACAAAATGAACAAATCTGAGAGAGGTCTACCCAAGGTACATATACACCAAGTATCAAATCATTCAGGCTTGTAGTTTTCAAGAAGAAGTCGAATAAGTAAAACATTGACGCAAACGACGGATGCCGGACGACAGACAATCACTCATATGATAAGCTCAGCTCGACAAAGTCGACAGCGGAGCTAAAAAGATGACAGTAGAGGACTTTGGCACTCAAAGGGTTAATATTAGATACAACCCAATCATGTTAATGATACATATTTCTAATTATTTGACAGTTGTGGGATTACTTACTTTTACTATAAATCCATAGTTTTTACTAACTTTAGCTTCCGTCACTTCCACGCAGGAAGATAACTCTATACAACCATCTTCTATTTCAGCCTGCAACATGTAAACAAATTTTTAAATTCAAAACAGCAATTCATAGCAGAAAACGCTTGATGTCGTAACTACGACACTCTACCATTAGCCCCAATGATTCCGTGATGATACGACTTGAGAATCTCAACACTGTTGTTTCAAATGCTTCGAGTGAGATGGCTACTCCCATATATTCAAGCAAGAATTTGTTAGAATCAGCCAACCAGAGCCAATCTTATTAAAATAATGCAGTTTAATCTGCATATGTAGTTTATAAAAGTGTAATGATTGGTTCTTGGCGAAACAAAATGTTATAAGCCATGGTATAGATATTTTGATAAAACACGGACATTAGATTTTTATATAATATTCTGAAATCAATACATTCATGGGAAATATAAAAAAATTTGTACAAACCTCTTCGTTTTTAGAATCACTATAATATTTGAGTGTGTGGTCGGATAAAACAAACCAGTGCTTCGTCCAATCCTGCAAAACATAATTACCGATTTTAATTACCCTGCAGAGGAAGCTTATTTACCCTAAAACCACATTTCGGTATTACATTACTTTCACGTTCAACTTTTTTTATATTAAAGTCATTCTGTTAATTAAGTTCCGTTATTAAATCCATTTAATTATGTTTTACAAATATTTATTATTCTTATTATTTAAATATATTTAGCAACAATGTAGTTGATATCATGATAGTGGTGAGGGATTACCAATATTTTATGGGGGGGTGCCAAAGCAGCTGACCTCATTAAAGCAATATTATATTAATTAAACTTAGAAGGGGGCAATACTATATTATATTGATTTGAATTTTAAAATTGTAGATATCATGATGGAGCTAATAATAAGGCTTCAAGATATCACCATACAGTCAGTCCTGAAGGCAAACTCAAAAAAAAAGAAGAAAAAAAAAGAAAGAAACTCTATCAATGGAATGCATTTGTATTTGAAGGAGACATGGAGGTAGAATAGTGATGTCTCTGTTGATGGTTTGAATCGTGATGGGGTTCCATGTTGTTAACTTCTTCTGTGCTAGTGAGAGTGACTGGTAATTTGGTAGGGCAGTGATCGCCATGTGTGTGATGTGCCTCGAGCAGCTCAGGTTATATGCTCCCCAGGGAGTTGATTCACACGTCCCAGCGATGTGAAGCGTCAATGAGCAATCCGCTGAATATATATATATATATATATATATATATATGGTGCAACATAAATAGGCATTATTTGAAATGTCACAGGAACTGTAGCCATTCATGTTGGCAGCAAGAGTTAAATTTGATGACCAGAAGGAAATTAAAGTAAAAAATAATAATAAGTGACTCAATGATTGAAGTTTTTGAAAGAAGTGAAATTGTGGAATTATTCATGCAGGCAAAATTTCAGCTTGACTAATAACATTTCCGTATTGCTTGTACTGTGTTAAATGCCAAACTAAAAGGCTGTGAAATCAATCTGAATAGTACCCCAGACATCACTAAGACACAAGCGACCCCCACATAACATTTTTTTATATATATTAAAAATGACAAGAAATATTAGCCCCAAACAAAATGCAGATATTGTTTAAAGTGAATGAATAACACTAAATATCGTAGCAGCTTGAATGGCAGTTTTCAAGAAGACAAAAATTGAATTTTGGATCCCAAATGCAACTATTTCCACAGATAGATAATTGCTGCTATTTTTTGAAAAATCAAAAGAAAGAACCATGGCAAGTATCACAACACATTTGAAAACAATTTGATTTTGGATAAGTAAAAAAAAATGCAAACCGATGAACGGATGAACAAATAGACTCACGACAATGTTATATCAGTTGTATCAAAAAAAGATTGATTTTCCATAAATTTGCCCATCATATGGGGCAACTAAAGAATGTCTGAATCTCAACAACATCGCGGTTTTTATAAGTATGTCATTTGAAAGACACATAAGATTAAGCTGTCAAAACTGACAAATTCCCACTTAGCCGTTGCTAGTAAACAATGTCAATCTCAATATATGTAGAACAAACAATGTTGTAAATATCAGGTTAATAACCGAAACAAATTTATTATAATAACATATAAGAGGTCATTTCAAAATTTCTAAACACCAACAAGCTGTGGACACTAATGATTGCACGGATACATTTAGAGGTCACACATGTATGCAACTGGTAAAAATGAGAGAAGAATTAGAGGCACAATAAATTCTTGATATTTGATTGTGCAAAAGGTTATATTTAATGACAAAATGCAAATGAGATCATGAAAAGGGAGCATGGATGTATGTACCTTACCGGGAACAATGAGTTTGTGTTAAAAAATGAATGAAAGTTAATTAAAATTTATCAAGATAATTAAGGTCTGTAATTCAAGTTCTTTTTTTCAAAAAGTCACTGGGAATAAC